AGTAGCATCTAAGTTGTATCCTATTTCATACGTAGGAAGCATACTCTGTTTTTCCAAAAACATAATATCGGTTATTTTTGAAACGATAATATGACGTCAATGAAATTCATTTTTCTGGTATATAATGCAGATGAAACCGAACGCCACAAGAAACGGTCTTTTCAATACTTCTTTTCATAATTCTTCTAATCTTTTCATACGTCACGCTCACCGGTTCTTTTGGTTTCTATATAAATGTTTTTTTATGTTCTATGAAGATTAATATATTTCCTAATGATAATGATTAGTGTATTCGCAGATGCGTCATAGCAGGAAAATCGCTGCCGATAACACGTGTTTATCTGTATTTGGTGTCTAACTGTCTGGGGTTGTCTCTTGGGTTACAATTGATATCTATACGTCGTAAACTGTTTTAAATTCATTGACAACAATCGTTGATTTGGTGACTGAACTGTTTTGAACTCTTTTAATGTGTATAATAACCTCCGTGGTAGTGTATTTTGCTCACGCCAGTTTTATAACATCGTATAATCATTATATATGCGGTTTTGGGCTGGTAATTATTTTTTTGTACGAAATTTCATTGCCTGGATGACAACGAGACGAGGATGCGGATTCTGCTGGTCTGATCTTGGCCGGTAAATCCTCGGCTACTAAAACCCTGATTACATAGTGTCCAAAGTTCATTTCCTGTAATGGGACACGTGTAAAAGTTCCATTGGTGACCAGCGGAGACCTACCAAACGCTCATAGGAAGGAGGAAGCGCTCTGCATTGAAGAGATCGATCTCATTTACCGCACTGGAATATGAGCCGGGGCAGCAACACTTTATCGAGCGTCTTTAAGAACGCTCATCGTAGGCTCGGCTCCCCCTTCAGGATTGTCCTCATTGTCCTCAGCGTGGAAAGCCTCAAGGGGAATCCACCCCTTGAGGCTTTCCACGCTCATACCTCATTACAGCCTCAGATTCTTTCGCCTCCGGTCTAGCTGGTCCTATTTCTGTTAAAGTGCTTTAGACATCGTCAAGTTAGGACCTCAAAATGACATCAATATTCCAAACATTTCTTATCCGTAGATGTCGCATAAATTATAATAGGGAATTTCTTTCCGCGAAAATGTGTATGATAAGAGTGCAGAGTTCGAAATGAGGACTTTTCCATCGGCAAAAAGTTTTCCTCTATTCTCTGTACAATATAAATATTCTCAGAGAAACTACATCATTTAGATTCCAAGATTAATGAGAATCAACGCAGTTTGCCTTGTAATGAGCCTGTTCGTCGTCGAGTGAATTCGATGAAGCCATTACACGGCGTAACTTCATTTCCTTAACTTATTTGGAAGAGGTTATGGGTATACAACACTCGTTATCTCGTAAACTAAAACAAGGCATAGTTGACACATTTCAGCACTGTCATATTATGCAAATGCCTAGCGCGAAGCGCCGTTTAACGCATGCCATGATTTTAAACATTGCTTAGGTGGTTCCTAGCCATTGGTGAAATTTATCCTTATGCGATTGTTAGATATTTAGGCGAAAGGTTTGTGCTCATTAGAGTCGAAAAAACAGTTCACGAAATTTAGACTAGCATTTTTACAACTCAGCATGCCCTACCATGTATTCTATTTGCTAAAATATAATTTCATATGATTGCACATATAATTGATTTGAGAAATTATACATTTGCATCGTGGATATTTTTTTCGCTTGATATCAGCGGGATGTGAACACCGATAAATCTCTGTCATGATCTTCATCATCAGCCTTTACCTTCCCACTGAAGGGTCTTAGGTCTTCCTTATGGATGGTTAAGAAGTTATCATATCAATTGACTACGGTAATGCTTGACAGCAGTTATAATATGTCTAAAATATCGCTACTAGCCATAATCGATATTATTATGTGATATATAATTAAAGGGAGAATCATTTTCTTGTAAAAGGCTCATAAAATACTGAATGCAGGTAGATAAGGAAAAAACGAAGAAGATTCCATGCGATAGATTTTAATTAACAATCATTAGTTTAATGAATCGTTAGCAATTATTTGTGATTGCGAATGTTTATTATTCTATTAGCAAATCCACCATATTGATTTTAGATTTCCATCTATTATTTCTATCCAGTCGACGACATACCAAACCTCAACCGTAACTAAGTTAGGGATTAACCACAGCCTTACTTGATGCTTGTCAAGTACCAACCCCTGATAGTAGAGTGGCTTAACAAATATTAACTAACTAACAAAGTGTCAAATTAATGTAATCCATGCACTAGTTATTGTAACGTAATCTAATATAGTTTTAACTGAGAGTACCAAGATTACTTGTTAAATTTTGTATTAAACGTGGGACTTTTATGAATTTTCAATTTCAAAAGGGGTGATTGAATGACGTTGTTTTTTATCAACAAGTTCTTATTAATTTACGTTTGAAGCAAATATTATTACTTTATAGATTTGTTTTATAATAATTCTCTGAATGCCTTCATTTACTTTAAAAGTATTTCGAACAATTTTTAATCCAGCCAAACCACTTTTAAGATTTTTTTCATATGGTATTCTGTTCTGTTTGAAAAACAATACCTGTGACTGTTTATTTAAATGAAAAAAAGGCATAAAACAAATATTTCGGAAAAATCAACACGTTTAAGACACGCCTTAAGATTAAATCCAAATTTAAACTTTTATTATACCCGCGAAAATGCTGTCCGTCATATTCATTACGTCATTGTGATATGTACACAAAACCTTAACTCTATGCACAAGAGAGATGCATATATTAGAAGATTAAATGATATTAATAAAAAAGAACAATGCCATCTTACGATCTATTACGGAATAAAAAATGAGCTAAAAAAAGTCACGTGACACACAGATTAAAATAATGACATTTAATTTTAAGATAATATCGTGCGATTTTGAAACTCAAAATCTGAATCTCTATGTTTATTACGATGTAAATTTTAGTTTTTGTGCAATTTCGTGATTTATTTTTCTCTATCGAAACTACCCTATTGTTCAATATTATTACCCATTTCCATTTTCACATTTTTCATTGCATTTTTCCCTTTAATGTAATTAATGATTCAATTAACCCATTGTTCTCACTGCGTTATATCGGACCAAGAAAAGTGAATCTTCATATTACGGAATTATTGACCAATTGTGTAAGATTTAACTAGACGATCTAACAAATTTTAACCTCAATTAACGAACTTCTTGCTGGACAGACTAAAAAATCATCGCATTGAATTTTGTACCTAATTAAAATGCATAAAGTAATATGTATATTTGCTTTGTGTATAATAAACATCGGCCTATATGTTATACTTTCATTGATAAATAAACACAAAAAAATGTGCGTGGGCGCACATTGCTCGTTGCTCATTGTACGCCCACATGGTTTACTAAAGTGCGGCAGAGGCCTTATTGAAATTAGGAGAGAATGTTATGTGATAGCTTGTTGAAACAAGTTTAATGTTTTTATGATTAGCGTTATTACCATTTGGCATGGTTCATGAATGTTGAAGAATATCCGTAATTCATCTATGGTATTTAATTGGGAACATTGATAGGAGCTAAATTATACTTTTAAAATTACATGTGACAACACAATAAAATAAACCCAAATTACAAGTAGTGATTTCACAGCTTTATATATGTTGCAGATATCTAATCAAATCAGAATTTTGATCAAACATATGTGAAAAAAGAAATGTTCATGAACCGATAAGAAATTATTTTATTCTACTAAATGATTTTTCATCATATTTTAAGAACCGATGCATTTATTTTTTGGAACAAAAGAGAGTATTATTAATATAGTCTGAAAAAAATAAATATTTGAGTACTATTATCGACAGCAGAACGTGGATAGTAGTAATTAAATTAAACATTAGAAAAGCAAACAAATCCTATATTTAAATTTACGTACAAACCTAACACAAGATACACAGCAAGAAACAATTAAAGGTGACAAAAGTAAAAAAAACAATTAAAAACAATATATAAATACTTAAAAAGCTGACAAAACTGTCGTCACCAAATATAATTATGACACTAGTATTGTATAACATGCAGGCCATTGTAGGAAATGAACAAATACCGATACGTGTAGGTATTGTGAATTTGCATACGACAGAGCGGTGCAATTGCAATCGATGCGACGGTGCGTGCAGGGGGCAGCTTGGGTACAGCAGGGCTTGCACGAATGACTAGAACTGAAACTTTTATAACTTGCAATAAGTTGCATTCAAATATATATTTAAATAATATGTGACCCAATATAGATCCTTGCAGCACTCGCCGAATTAGCATTCTCTTTATTGTAACTATATTATTACCAATTCACTCTCGGAGCCAGCTCCAAAGAATACGTACATTAGAATAGTCTTCATTCAGCTTGTATTTAAGAAGTAATATGTAATAAGAGTCCGTTTTTAGTAACTAATTTTGCATTTTAGAATGAATCTGTACTCGTTTGTTTTTATTATTCTAATATACCATATTAATGTTCGGTATAATAAATTTGATGATAGCAACCCTATGTACTGCGGAGCTTTGTGTAGATTCTATGGTGTGGTGTGTATCTATCGGTAGATATAGAAGGGGATCTCCCCCCGTATGCATCAGCCGGACATATCCAGCTAAGCTTCGTCTGTGGATAATTAAAATTTGCTTAATTTAAATGCAAATATTTGCAAGTACAAATTAGTAGATTTGTTTATATTATTTAATTAATTAAACAAGATAACCATAGATTTATATCTCAAAAGTTATATTTATTACATCCTCATCGATATTGAAAAAAATTATATCTACAATACAATATAATACAAAAAATTAAGTTGCCCCATCGATGAGCCAACGTATGATGACTAACTGACAAATGGAGTTTACTAAAACAGAAAGCTTATGGTGTTAACAACAATTATTATAAATTAGTTGATTCTATTGTTGAATTTATTTTTTATGCTAATATGATACTTTTTGTTTGTTACAGCCATGAGCCGGAAGGCGGCGGGCGGTACGGGGAGGGGGTGCTAGCGCGCGCCATGCAACCTGCGCCCCCGGGCGGATCGCCCAAACGCACCAATCCGGCTAACGCTGGTCAGTTCAACATTAAACATACTATGATCTGAGTTTCGAACACATGTGCCGCAAAGTGCATTATGAGAATCTAATTCTAATGTTAGGTTCGAAATGTAAAAGTAATAGTAAATCTATACTATACAGAGATTTCATTGTTTGTTTATTTCCATTAAATAGGCTCCGAAACTACTTTCTATAATTCTTTCATCTACGGGAAGCTATATCATACGCGAAGCTATATCGCGGGAAAACATTTTTCTTACATATAAAGCAGGGTGTTATCGCTTTCAAATTGAAAACAAAATAGCCCTTGATGCGTAGATAATTAGAAAAGAAATGACACGGAAGAATCATACATAATGCACCTGAATCTTCAATAATCACTATCCAATTGGTAACAAATTGAGTGCAAGTTTTTGATGTCCAGGGTCAAATGGGTAAGAGGGTTATGTACTTAATTGCAGGGACGACGGCTGATCAGTCTACACTAAAAGTCCACCTTCCAAATGGTGGCTTCAACGTGGTCCGCGCGTCAGCCGAAGAGGATGTGCGGTCGGTACTACGGTTGTTGGCCTCCAGGCTAGCCACCGGGGACCGAGTGTACGCGTCGTGCTACGCGCTCAGAGCTCGGAAACTAAACACGGGCAAGGTCAGCACCATTAAAATCAGTTAAAAGACATTCAAAGGTAGAACCCGTAGTTAGTCTGTTTCATATCTGGGCAAATACGCAAAATGTAGTAAACGTATTTTTGGTTAATTTTTTTAACACAATATTTAAATTCTAATTAAATTAAACATCTTAATACCTACTTTATATTTTATAATTTAGTTATATAAAATTGTACACTTTATGTGAGTAAATGCTTCCGAACATTTTCTTTGTTTCAAAAGACATGGACAAAAAAGATAGACAGACCAAATCCCATTGAAATATCGTACGCTAAGAACGATAGTGACACAATGCAAAAAATGCGATTTTGAGTAATGAGCGTTTAAAGTTCAAGAAATTGTAAGCAGCCCCTCTAAACAACGTATCGTCACTACGCCACCAAGCAGTTTCTATGCAAGCTACGTTCACAGGGATCTTCGCATTTTAAAGTTTATACTAACCAAGGATAAATGTTATCAAAAGTAAAAAATATGGCGGTTTTGGTTAGTGACATTGTCATTCTCAACGTACGATATCAGAACAGATGAAAAATACTACATATAACACTATTTTGAGATAATTCTGCGAATCACGACCCTTTTGAATGAGAAGAACGATAAGAAAATCTTGTTTGTAGTAGAAATGGGATGTGAACATTTCTTGAAGAAGTTCCACTTGTCATTCAGATCCGATGGATACACCAAGACACGCCGGTATCAGAGCTACTGTCGCGATGGGGCGTGGCGGAGTGGCGGCTCGAGTTGCGCGTGCGCTACCTGCCTGCCAGTCTGCGCTCGCTACAAGACGCAGACCGCGTCACCTTCCACTACTATTACGACCAGGTAGAACTGACACTTCATGATTGCTGATATGTCAATTTTTGGTCTATACGTCTGGAAAGTGATTACCCTAACCGTAAAGTCGTACCGATGACACATATACATAATTTTGCGTATGAATGCTGACTGGAATCACGCAACTGTGTCTACTTTTTCATTTATTATAATATTTTTTTCTGACATGCTAATTGGAAGGCAGTGTTGACATTTAGAACTTTTAAAGTAGTTTTACCATTTTACCATTTTAGTCAATAGAATATCTTCCCAAAGAGAATTGAAAAAATATTTAAAATAACTTCAACGAACTCTTAATAGAAAGACGTATTAAATAAAATTTCCCTTAATAGGACTTTTTCCATCTTTTTTATCTTTGTATGACCCAGATCGCAGCTGCTGATTTTCCGTATTAAACCATGATGTTGCCAAAAAATAACTATTTAATTTTTCTGTTCTTAATTAAAAGTTATCTTAATTTTCACACCACAGGTTCGACACGACTACCTCAACGCCAATCATCCTATTGATCAGGAATTGGCGATACAAATATGTTGTTTAGAAATTAAGTAAGTATTGGTTTTGTCTATATGTAAATATCATTTAAAAATAATTACTTTCTAATCCATACTTTCAATTTGTCAAAATAGGTTCTGATTAGATGATAAGCAAAAAAATGTTGCAAAGTTTCCAAATAGTTGCAAAAAGACATATATTGATAAAGAATATATTCTCTTCCGTGTGATTATTTTCATTTGCAAGTGGCAATTGAATAAGCGAAACTTCTTTCCAGAATCTTCTGTAAGGATATAGCGACAGATAAGAAATTTAACGTAGAATGCTTCGAGAAGGACTTCGGTTTGCACAAGTTCCTACCAAAACCGGTGCTGGACGCCGTAAAGCCAAAGGTTCTCAAAAAAGCAATTCAACAACAGTTCAAAAAGGTAAGCGATTTTTTTAATTTATGAAAAGAAAGCTGTTTTGATTTTTGGCAATTCATACTATGATAAATAACCGTGTTGGTTGTATAATTTGCCTTCAAAATTCAAACAATAAATATATTGAGATAGTAGCTGACTAGGCCATCTCGTTTTTATTTTATTTATTTTCATAAGCAATATTTAAAAGGTTATCGTTCTTGAATTTAGAGTTAACAATGTTTTGAATTAACCTCAACTAGGGTTTGTGCCAAATTTTTTCACTTTTAATTCGTTTAGAATTACACGATTAATGGAGCTTATATTAAATTTTGCCTGAGAATATCATTTATAGACTAATACCAGAAATATCAAACCTTAGCTAAGATAGCTATTATTCCCATGACATTTAAATGTTTTTTTTTTTTTTTTCTATAAATGGTTTCTGTATATGTGGATGTTATGATCTTGGCAGGTGGCACACATGAGTGACACAGAGTGTATGTTGAAGTATTTGGAAACGATGCACACGCATTACGGATACGACCGGGAGACGTTCACAGGTGCATTGGGCATCGGATGGGCGATACCGGTCGAACTCGCCATCGGACCAGACATAGGTATTATTAGTTGAACGTGTAAAACCATATTTGTGAAAATAAAGATTTTATTATTATTATTATTATGTGACTCGCACGAATTAACAGATATATAGGTATCTGTATACCAAGGGACAAATAGAATACTATTTGTTTTCGACCATTTCGACTCGTTCTTCTAATTTTGTTAAAATCACATCCGTGAAGATTATCTGTGCGCTAGAGGCTCCACCAGACCAGTTTCGAGTCCTCCGTCGCATACATGATCGAAAAATGCGTTTCTTTGGAGTCGTATTAGTAATTTCGTTTTCTGACAAACTAGTGTAGGCCTTTAGGTGTCAGGTTAATTTATTTATACGAGTAGTAAATTAAGATTTTTTTCTCTCTAGATGAAGTTTAGTCTATTCTTGTTGTTTCTTCTTATTAATACGGGGTTTCTCAACAGCGACGTAAAAGTGATCTCGTCGTTCAATAAATACATTTTTAACTATCAAAGTTTAAATTGCAATTTATTTAGCCTTATTTCCCCCAATAATAACTCGAAAATTGACTTTTATCTACCATAATGTCTTCAAAACGACATGATTCTTTTATTTAAATAACGTACGTCAATGTCGGTTTGAGTAAAGTAAGACGTTAAATTGAAGTTCGTATATCGATTCCATCTTTGTACTCGTATATACCTAATAAAAAAGAAGTAATAGAAACCTTAATAATGTACAGAGTCTGGTCGAGTTTTGATAATATGGCGTCAACTAGTCAGTGTAGATGTGGCAAGTACCGTCGTTTCTGTGTAGACATATCGTACGTGTCCCACAAGGCCGGCGAGCCGCCGGAGTACTGCCGCGTGGCGTCGTTCGCTGACGTGCTGGCGCTGCACACGCTGCGCTCGCCCTGCACCATACAACCGCCGCAGGTAACCAGCGCATGTGTGTCATCATCATCAGCCCTGCTACGTCGCCACTGAAGGGGCTCAGGCCTTCCTTATGGATGTTTAGGGAGGTTAGGTCATGCTGGCCCAATGCGGATTGGAAGGTATTGACGTTCGGCATACGCAGCCGGGTTATCCTGCCTTCCGAAGTTTTTTGGTCACACATCCTAATATCTGAGATTTAACTAATTTTATAGGGCAGTTATTACAATATTTGGCACCCAACATGTAACTAATACACAAAATATTTATTTTATGTATAAGTTACAGTTTGGGTGGTTGCCTGAACTTTGATGAAAATATGCTCTGTGGGAGGGAAAAAGTAACAAATGTTTGAAAGATTCGTCAGTCCTGTTAAGTCACGGGTAGCTCAGTGGTTAGAGCAGTCGCTTAATTGCGAAAGGTCGTCGATTCGAATCCCATCTCAGAGTAACAGGTACGATGTGGATTTATTAAACTTTTTTAAGAATATTTTCCAGTATATCAAATATAATAAATATACATATATCTGGTTCTCTTAAAATAATTTCATTGTTCAATCGGAAAAACATCTAGTATAATATAAATTATTTTTAATAATTAATTATTCTATAAAATAATTAATTATTTGAAATATTTAATTATGTCAAATAATTAATTATTTGACCGTTTATCTCATCTTTAAAGGGATGAATCGCGCTTAGCACTCATTTGTTTTTATAGGGCGGTTCCTGCGGTAAGGCGGCGTTACAGCTGAGAGTGAAGGGAGCCTCTGAAACATTAACGATAACAGTCAGCAGCGTCGAGGTAAATTTATAAACACTAACAATTAGTATAATAGCGCGTTGACCTTTGTACCCACTGATAGTAGGTCCACTTTTCTTTGACAAAATTGGCTAGATCCATCTGTGGAATATGTTTGCGCAAGATTGAAAGATATATGTAATGCCGGGTCATTGTAATTATACGAAATTATCTGTGTTCGCCGACCTGACTATATAATTTACATAGAGAACTAATGTGGTTTCAAGAAAAAACAGAGCTTTTATCAAAAAAAAAAATTAATGTCTACTATTTTCCGTACCCCACGTTCTAGGCCATGGTAGATAATGCAAAGGTTTTTTTATACTATCAAATACTAGAGGCCGCTAGCGACTTCGTCCGCGTTTACCATTATTTATTCGCTCCTAATAGTTGCAGCGTGATGTTATATAGCCTAAAGCCTTCCTCGATAAATGGTCTAATCAACACAAAAAGAATTTTTCAATTCGAACCAGTAGTTCCTGAGATTAACGCGTTCAAACAAACAAACTCTTCAGCTTTATAATATTAGTATAGATAACAGGTGAAAATAAATTACTATTTTATTTGTATTTATAACTAGGCTGCGGAAAGTTTAGCGGATTTGGTGGACGGCTACTGCAGACTAGTCACAGACTCGCAGACGTCATTATGGAATAGAACGAGTGAGTTGTTGTGTTATAGTTTAACAATAGATACTACTTATTAATAATTGGAAGCTTTAAAATATACTGTGTTAAAAAAAAATGTAATAAGCTCTTAGTCACTTTAAAAGCTTGAGTATAAAAAATACAACAAAATTATATTTGAATTACACCCGTTTTCACTAATCTAGAATAAGACATAGTTTAACTAGGAAACGCCTAATCTTACGAATCGTCTAACTAGGGGTATGTTCCGATATACACTGCGAGCACTGTGCAGTGGTCTTACTGCTGAAAAATCCATTCCGTTATGGACTGTCAGTACACTGCTACAGTACCCTAGGGAAATTTATGACGTCATAAATTGCCGCCATATTTGTACTGTGAGCACTGGAGATTTCGAGGTGCAGTGCTCGCAGTGCTTTTGATCACGTGATCAGTCGAAACAGAATCAGAAAATGATAAGTTTCTAAATAAACAAAAAAAAAAATACTTACGTTTATTTATAAGATGGATTTAATTGATAAATAATTTTTTTATACAATTTTCCAATTTTCTTTTGAAAAGAGGGAATCTTTATATTTGTATTCACCTTGCATTAACAAATTTGAAAATGGCGCCAAAAAATAGGATTGACAGTATACTGGACTGCATTCCGTTTTAAAAAGTCACCAGTATAACTAGCTATAAAGGAACGGGCTTCCAGTATACTAAATTGACGTCATACTGTTCAGTGGTCGCAGTGTATATCGGAACATACCCTAGATTAGTTTAATTTCAAATAAACATGCTTTCTTTTATACCTTGAGACTTAACATCATATTACGCAAATGCCTAGCGCATGGCACCGCTTAACTGATGTCATAGGTTCATATCGCTAGGTGGTTTTAAGTCATTGGTGAAATGCATTTTTACCTTAGGCGATTCCTAAATATTTGGGCGACTCCTAAATTTTGTGAAAATGGGCATTGTAGTCCTATATTATAGTGAACTGAGGACTGAATCGAAATGTATTCTAGTCAGTCTTTGGAATAGTCCACTGTCTTTAGAATATGAACTTGCACTAATATTCTAAGAGCAAATCTTTGATGGCTAATCACCAAAGTAGAGATATAATCAACACTTTCGGCACTGTTTTTAAAGTTTATTTTTAATTTAAAAAGTCTTCTTAAACAAAAACTTTTAGACACGTCCATGTATACCTTATATTTTTAACAAATATTTGAGTTTACGGAAAATTGTACTATTGATTTATTAACATACTTTTATTTGTTTTTCAGCTACCATTTGTAAACAACTTAGCTGTCAATGTAAAAGTAAGTTATAATAAATTTAGTTTCTCATGTTCTCACATAGCAGTTAATTTGAAGCTTAATTGGTAACATACTCAGTTTTAATATTTATTTAGAGCCACGCTTCGGCATGATACCACGGCCTCACAGAAAACCGACGTGAAGCAACGCTTGCGTTGTGTTTCGTCGTGTGAGTGAGGGTACCGGAGGCCCAACCCCTCCCTATTCCCTTCCCTCTACCCCTCGACCCTTCCCTCCCTATGATCATATTCGTCCCTCAAAGGCCGGCAGCGCGCTTGTAGCCCCTCTGGTGTTGCAGGTGTCCATGGGCGACGGTAATCACCTACCATTAGGTGATCCGTCTGCTCGTCTACCCCATATTCCATAAAAAAAATGCTTTGACAGTTATATATATATATATATATATATAATAACATAAAGTATATTGTTAACTGGTATGTCGTGCAGAGGAGTCGAGCAGCAAGTCGAGCGAGGGTAGTGAGGGTAGAGAAGGAAAGGAGAGTAAAGAGAGCAGGGAGGGTAGAGAGTGGAGCGGCGTCGCGCCCACGCTGCTGTCAGAAGATTACGCCGAGATCGTGGACGACGACGCTGACTATTCCACACCAGCGGGTATATAAATTACTTTTTTAATAGATTAAAATATAGTTACATATTGTCTTAGTTTCAGTTACGTATACTTACTTAATGTACGGGTCAACGTATAATATTTGCCTCGAAAGTAATATCGCGACCTACTGGAGGCGCTTGCATAAATTATTATATTTTTAGTACAGTAAAGTAACTCCATAATATTTATTTATTAATTTATTGAACTTTATTGACCAATAAAGATGGTACAAAAGGCGGACTTAATAGCATTCTCTGCCAGTCAACCTTTGGGAAAACAGACAAACGCGATGGCGGTACAGAGCAATAAAAATAAAAAACTACAACAACAAATACTAAACTAATCGTAAACATATTACAACATACTTAAAATATAAATAACAAGGATTCAATATTATTGAATGAGTATATCATTTTCTATTGCATCCTTGACATATTTTTGCATTGTCTTACCAATACTACATATGACATGATGTACTGGATGAGAGAAACAACTCGTTAAAGTTGGTCCTTCGAGCCGGATATGACCCAGCGACTTATGGATACATATCATTTTCTGTTGCATCCTTGACATATATCTGCATTATCTATCAATACTACTTATCACACAATGAACATTATTTTAAAAATAAAACTTAGACGCCAAGTTTTAAAGGTTTTTTATAAAGTTTTAGTATTGGGCACATAAATCTTAAACACTGAATCTAATTTAATTGGATTAAACTAATTTTTCACCAAATTTGCTAGTATAGTTTACATTATCTTCTTTGCAAACTTTCAACCCCTATTTCACCCGCTTAGGATAGAATGTCCACTAATCTGAAACAGGTATTTCTAACGTTGAAATCGAATTTTTGTCTATAGAAATTCAACTCTTAATAAGTTGGGTCCTCATACTGATCTTATTCATAATCGTTTCTGTATAATTATACGAGTCCATATCATCATGACCATCGTCAGCCCTTTTATGTCCCCACTGCCGGCGCTCGGGCCTTCCTTATGGATGTTTAAGGAGGATGGGCCATGACCCTCCACGCTGGCCGGGACTGACGGCTTAACGTACGTGTCTTTCTCGGTCGTCCATTCCATGACCGACCCTCGCGACAATTGCTCAGCAACAACGATCTCCGACCGCGGTGCTAATCCCCTACGCCGTCGAGCTCCTCGGACGAGTCTATACAGAACGCTGAAATGTACAGTGCGCGACTACGAGTTGCCGCGCGCGCAGATCGAGCTGACGGCGATCATCGGCGAGGGCCAGTTCGGGGACGTGCACCGCGGCACGTGCCGCCTGCCCCCCGCCGCGCGCCCCCCGCTGCGGCACCTGCTGCCCGCCGACGGGGCCGCCCCCGCCCCCGCCCCCAACGCGGACCTGCTGCTGCCCGTCGCCGTCAAGACCTGCAAGATCGAGGCCGACCCGGACACCGCCGAGAAGTTCCTCGAGGAAGCATGTCAGTGTTCTAGCTCATTTATTTAAATTTAATAAGCATGACCCCAGTGACGACATCTTGTGGCACTCCGAACTGACGACTGACTGAATATGGATATATTTCCTTTTCTGGTAGTGTTTAATATATTATTACTGATAACCACACTGTTTTTCATATTATATACATATATAATATTGCTGGACTAATTATGGAAAAACAAATGTTTTATGCTCGTTGTCACGTGATCACAAACAGCGCGTGACGTCACGCGCCCCTTACTCATATCAGAACTTGGAGAATTCAAACTCAAGCGATATTCGTTTTAGAGTGCCGTGGCATCGTAGCGACACCGCGATAGAAGTGGTGTTTTCAAGGGAAATTTTTAAAAAAAATATTTATTCTTAGATTTTAACTTGTTGTTTGAATGATATTTTTTTAAAATATTTTTTTAGATATATTTCATATATCTCTGGACCTGAAAAGCATTAGGTCGGATGTGCAGAACCAGCTAAAATCACTTATCGCCATAACGTTGCTACACTCTTTTTTCTCTTTCCGGCAAATTAACTCTTGTATGTTTGTGCCTTTTTACTCATGAGCAACAGTCATGCATAAAGTCGACTTTTTCAAATATTTTGATTGCATTTAGCTATTTCTGTTTTTATACAGTTTTTATACATCCGACCTAATGCTTTTCAGGTCCAGATCTATATAAAATAAAAATTACTATCGCGACAATCTTCATTGCGCACGCGTGGTGATAACTAGTCCAAAGTGGGGACTCACTTGTGTTATTCTCGGTATCGATATATATATGTATGTGTAGTTTCAAATTGTTAATAATTATTATAGGTGTGTTCCGGTTAGGCATCGCGTAGCTTTATCTTAATATAACACGGTCCCCGAACAGAAAGAACGCGATTGTGTTGTTTTGTTTAAGATAATTTTGTTAAGATACAATGTTGGTGTGTTCAGATATAATGCAGCAGTTCTCGCATCCTCACATCATCGGCCTGGTGGGCGTGTGCAGCGACCCGCCCATATGGATAGTGATGGAACTGGCCACGCTCGGGGAGATGAGGGCGTATCTGCAGCAGAACGCGCAGAGGTTAATACGTGTTATATATGTATATAAAAAGCTTTCCGCCAGCGGCTTTGCCCGCTCGGTCTTGTATTATACATAAAAAACTTCCTTTTAAATTACCCTATCTATGAAAAAAGCGCATCAAAATCCGTTGCGTAGTTTCAAAGCTTTAAGCATACATAGGGTTATAGGGACAGAGAAAGCGACTTTGTTTTTTGCTTGTTTTTAATTCTTCTCTTTCTATATTAGCGGAAAAGAAGAATCGTCCGACGTCGTCTCCTTTGCTTAATAGGTATCACGTAAGATATAGGAAAAATTAATAATTTTCTTTTGGTTTTTGTAAGAAACGATAGCGTATTTGGGTTGTTTGTTTTCTACACACCAATATTTTTTATTTTGCACACGCGTTCACATTATGTCAAAGCGTATAATAAACGTACATTCGTACTGTATTCTTTGTCACTGCGTTATGACGTATTATCGATTTAATGGGAACAAAAAGATGATAATGTATGAAATGCAATAAATTCGTTTTTAGCGGATGTTGAACATAGTCTTTACCTTTATGAGTTTTGATGTTACCTAAAAAAATAGGTCGTCATCGACCCTCTCCCTTCAAATCATGTAACTTATTAAATGGATGGCATTACTATTCTGTTATAAACAGCCTTGAACTTGATGGCCATTGCAGCGCACTCATAGTATAGATATTCAATCAAATAAAACCTACTAAAATAATAAAGGTGTCATTTCGTTCATGCTCTATGGTCTCACAATGCTGTTTCAAATGGCTGGTTTACACGTAATTAAGTAGATAAGCAGTGAATAGATTTTTGCTTAATTTTAAGTGATGTTACAATTTAATTCTAATTGAGCTCATAAGTTGTTAACTAAATTTTGACTTTACTACTTTAATTACGTGTAAATCAGCCATAAAAGTACAACATAGCTGATGCATTGCTGCGCGCACTTAGTGTAGTGTTGTGATGCAGGCTGGAGACGTCGACGCTAGTGTTGTACATCTACCAGTTGTCCACCGCGCTCAGCTACCTGGAGAGCAAGAAGTTCGTGCACAGAGACATCGCCGCGAGGAACGTGCTCGTCTCCACGCCCACCTGTGTCAAGGTAATATGCACTCTATTCTTTTTTTATATATATGTAGACTGTAGACATCTTTTTATATTTTTATTTTAAATATATTACATGAAATACATCACATATACATAAGAGGGGCGTGGCCTCACGCGCTGTTTGCGGTCACGTGACAACGTGTATAAAATATTAGTTTTTCCATAATGAATTTAAGCAAAATTATAAATATAATTAGCATGAAAGTATGATTATCGATAATAGTACATTAAACACTGCCAAAAAATTTATATGTATTTATTTTCGTTTTCTGTCTACTTCCGTATTGTACAATCCACTTAAATAACAATGATTCATGAAAAATCTTTTTTTATAGTACAAAGAATTTCATTATCTACTTATTACTATTTAAAATATGTAGTTTTTTTATTATGCTCTTTTGTAGGAACTTTTAAATATAACCTTAAGGCGTGGGCTTTCGACTTTTCTCATAATGTATATCACAAGTGATTATAATGGCCTAGACTGAATGATTGATTTTCAATTGATATATATGGCAACACTGCGTTACTACGATAAGAGTAGAGAGCAGTAAAACTTTATTTTATAATTTTATTTGTTTTGTGTAGAAAAGTCCACAAAACTTTATTAATAGTTTGACTGTTGGGTGGGCTAAGTCTCATATAGATGTGTTATAATGTTACTGAAGGTATATTATAAAATGACACTTTGTGTTTACATATTATAATAAATAGTTACAGGCTATCCATGGAATATTTTAAAGCTATTTTCAGTCTTGTAACCTGACGTGTTACTGCGTGTACCTAATTCGATATAATTATGTGTGATCTCATAACCTTGTTTTGTACGCCAGCTAGCAGACTTCGGTCTGTCCAAGATGGTGGAAGACAAATCTTACTACAAGGCGTCCCGAGGGAAGCTGCCCATCAAGTGGATGGCGCCCGAGTCCATCAACTTCCGACGTTTCACATCCGCATCTGACGTATGGATGTTCGGTGAGTCATACGCATACTTTTCACATCAACATTAAGGCCCGGATCTACGACATTTACAATCGGTGCAGAAATTAGATGTCGCGCTATACCTCCCTCCCCCTTCACCCTCCTCCGCGCGCCAAATTTTTATTACTGTGAAACTCTTTTATTTTTGGATTATATTATGATGATTTCGTCACCCGGGGCAACTGCTCCCATTAGCCCCCCTCAGCCCCCATGTTTTTCGTTCCAAGACAAATAGAATAAGTCCTTGGGTGTCACGTTAATTGATACGAGTTATAAATAAATGTCCAGGTGTGTGTATGTGGGAGATCCTGATGCTGGGCGTGAAGCCGTTCAGCGGCGTGAAGAACAACGACGTGATCGGGAAACTGGAGAACGGGGAGCGGCTCCCCCTCCCGCCGCGCTGCCCCCCGCGCCTCTACTCGCTCATGTCCCGCTGCTGGGCCTACGAGCCTTCGCAGCGGCCCACCGCGCACCACCTCAAGGAGACCCTGTTGTGAGTACCATAAGGTTCACTTTACATTGGTAGCTCCCGAACAATTGGGTACTTGACTAAAGAGTTCGTTATAATAATTAATTATAAAACATGTTGAAACGGTAACTTATATGCAAACAACAACGATGTAGTATTTTTTTTTTTTAAATAGATTGTAATTATGCTTTATTTTTGCAAAAGTAACTTGACGCTAATAACTAAATAACTTTCTTTTTTACGACTGTATTTCATCCATTTTTTTTGTTTTACAATAATTTATTTTAACATATGTCAAACGTCAACAATATGTTATTTTTCTTTTTTAAGTATATATAGGGTATGTTCCGATATACACTGCGACCACTGAACAGTATGACGTCAATTTAGTATACTGGAAGCCCGTTCCTTTATAGCTAGTTATACTGGTGACTTTTTAAAACGGAACGAAGTCCAGTATACTGTTAATCCTATTTTTTGGCGCCATTTTCAAATTTGTTAATGCAAGGTGAATATAAATATAAAGATTCCCTCTTTTCAAAAGAAAATATTATAAAATTGTGTATAAAAAATTATTTATCAATCAAATCCATCTTATAATAAACGTAAGTATTTTTTTTTTGTTTATTTAGAAACTTATCATTTTCTGATTCTGTTTCGACCGATCACGTGATCAAAACCACTGCGAGCACCTTACCTCGAAATCTCCAGTGCTCACAGTACAAATATGGCGGCAATTTATGACGTCATAAATTTCCCTAGGGTACTGTAGCAGTGTACTGGCAGTCCATAACGGAACGGATTTTTCAGCAGTAAGACCACTGCGCAGTGCTCGCAGTGTATATCGAAACTTCATATATCACAAGAACCAAAACGCGGGCGGCCCTGGTCACATTTCAATAAACGAATCGTTGATGTCTTTGTTGCGAGTATAACCAGTAATTATGTTTGTTGAAATGTGACGTCATGGCTTGAAATATAACGTGACTGATTGTGTGACTGACGGACGTACCTGCCAATTTAAATGTATAAATAAAAACATGTATTTCCTATACTTTATAAAATGTCGATGTTTACCAATTATCACTGCGTATTAAAAGCATATTGCACTATGCAATATGTGTGCTTGTTTTCTTGTTCATTATGATTTTTAGGATTTAAGATTTAGATTATTATTTAAAATGAACCCTAAAGTTTGTTTAAACCAGCTGTTTAACTAGGGGGACTTTTTAATTGGATGATCTGCCCATCGCACAAACGTCTATTAATATTGTCATTAGTTTGAAACTTTAACTAGAGCTTAAATACCTCATTTAAGATAAGACGTAAGTATTACACTTATCCAATAAAATTTATTGACGCCTTTAAGCTCTAATTCATGTGAAATTTGTATAGGTAATGTAGCTTTAAACGAATGGCAATTTAGTAAGTGTTTTTGAGTTGAAATCTGTTCGTTGATCTGTAGACGTGTTGTGTTGTTGCAGCGAGATATTGCAGGAGGAGCGCAGTTCCGCGTGGGACACCATGCGGCGCGAGAACCGCCGCGTCACCGCCACCAGCTGGGGGGACCTGCCCCCTCCCAAACCCACCAGGCCCGCCACTAACCTCACCGGTAACTACCGCCACAGATGTTATACTATACTAGGACAGATGCTATAGGTCGCCCTTCTTAAGTTTCATTCTACGGCAAAGCCATAGTATAAATATTAGAAGGTAATTCGACTGCGGAGAAAGTATGCATGTGTGCACGGCGTGTAGGTACGCGTGCATTCACGAAATCTGGGCCTCGCTCGGGCTCCGTCCGTCAAGGACGTGCCACGTTACCGCTCTGTTTTGTTCACTTGCCGATTGCTCTCGTTTATTAGCGAAAAAATATGAGTAATAATAAATATAAATTAATAATAATTTATGTATGTATGTATATATATATAAAGACGTGCCTGCTGTCACATTATGAAATGTTTTTTATCATAGTTTCGATCAAGGTTGTGACGAATATCAGCATCCGCACCAGCACCGATCGATGCTGACATTCAAGTCGTAACGTTGACGACAAACGAGCGCTACTCACGAGTTGTTCGTTTAAAAAGAAGCTGGCACAAGCTGGCTAATTAGCATGTTTTGTCATCCTAATTTGCTTGAGCCTGTCAATGTCAATAGGGATGATGATTAATTTTTATATGTCTGTCCGTCAGGTAGATTATTGAAGAATATCTATCAAACACGTATTATTTTATTTTTTGCGTAATAAAAACGTTTTGCCTAATCGCTATATAGCGAGCCCCCACTCAACTTTAGTGCCTATAATCTAAGTCAGTTTTTTGTTAAATTATATTAAAAATGTAAATAATATTTTCTATTAACTGACTGACGGTCTAATTAGTATTTCTTTTATTTTACCCAGGTATCATTTCTATAAACCACTATCAGATTTATATTTCTCCAAACGTGTCATCAAATAAAGAAAAAAAAAACTATTTTTATTAATTACTTTAAATTGTCCCGTGTAAACAATCAGTTACGTAACATTTCGAGCCTAATTCCTTATAATTCATAAATACGAGTACGTTGCACTCGCCACAAAGAAGTTTACGTACGTTTAGTTTATTGATATGTAACGTCACACCATGCTCCATAATGTCCTCCACCATTAATTAAAAATTATCGATTACACATTAATAACATACCCTTTCTAACATATTTGTAATTGTCAAGTCGCCAATAATATGGTTTATCACCAGTGTTATTTTGTAGCTTCCCGTAAGTAATAATAGAGAAAGAAAGACTTCAAAATCGGATTATAATTTTTTCATCTTTATAATATTAGTATATATGAAACTGGTGTTTTATTCAAAATAGCATTCTACGTATGCTAAAAGTATAACTCAACCACGAACAAGTATTTAAAAATATATATGTTAATAAGGACGTATTTGTAACATTGCATTTTTTAATACCGGAACTGAAGAACCGGTATTTTATTTTAAAATAATTTCATCTACATCAATTCACACTATAAATCAGGGCGCGTATCTATATGTAATTAAACAATAGGTTGACAACCCTCCTCTCCGAGCGCCGGGAGGTATTTATTTTCCCAATCACCGAGAGGCGAGCCAATAGCTTATACGCTGGAACAATAGGGGTCGGGGCACGTCCGACAAAAATCTTAAACGTGAAAAGACAAATTTTACGTACGATATGCATCCTCAGACAGTCCCATATTCTTCGGGTGATGCGGGCTTATCAAGAGAGATCAAGACAGATCTTCCGTCGCGTTAATGGACCGCTCGCGATGTGATATAATTTGTTTCCGCCAGGAGCGGCGGAGGGCACGCTGGGGGGCGGCGGGGGCGGTGTAGGGGGCGCGGGGGGCGCGACGCAGACGTACATCGTGGCGCAGAACCCGCTGGTGCTGGCGCACCTGCTGCGCGAGAACCAGGCCCGCGCGTTGGAGCCGCGCGCCTACACCACGCCCGCCTCGGTATTCAACACGCTCGCCGTAGACTTCGCCGGGACTCTGCCGGAGGACCACCCCGACATCGTCCACGACATCGTCCACCCGGACCCCGAGCGGCGGCTCGAGATCCCGCTGCAGACGGTGCCCATGCCGGTCGCCAGTCTGCACCGCCTCGACCCGATCGTGCCCGAGCGGACGGACGACACCCTGACGGTGGTGGGGGGCGCCAGTCGGGACAACCTCTGCCCCAACTCGCGGGCCGAGTCGCCGGAGGGGGGGGAGCCCGCGAGCCGGGTGCGCTCGCTGGAGCGCGGGACGCGGGCCGCGGCCGAGCGGGTCTCGCGGATCGGTTCCCTGGAGAGGAACCCGCGGGGCGCCTTCGCCCGCCAGCACTCGGTGCCGGCTTCCCCCCCTCCGCGGCTGCGGCGGGAGCGCGACGTCGGCCAGTTCGCGGTGCAGGGGGCCATTAACGCCCAGCTCGCGGCGAGCGTCGTCAACAAGATGCGTTCGCAGCCCGATCCTCCGTTGATCGAGACGATATACGACTTCGGCGGGGACGTGAAGAGTTGCGTCGCGGTGGCGCAGCGGGCGGGGCGGGGGCGGGGCCGGGCGGGGGGTGGGGCGTGGCGCGCGGGAGAGAGACGGAGGCAGGAGTGTGCGGGACAGGTGATCGGATCCTGTGTTTGTGGGAGATGCATGCGTTTGGTTTTGTAGTGACGAAATTAGATTTTTATTCCCTCTACCTAAAACTAGTGAGGGCGAAGAATTGAGCTTATTTCTTTTCCTCGTTCTAAATTATTATTCTCATATCTCCTCTTAGATTCTATATTTTTTTCCAGAATTCTGGTTTTTGTTCTGCATTGGTCCAACCAACAAAATAACAATTTTGTGTACTATGCGAGCCAAATATAAGTAGTACTTACTGTCAGTGATCTTGGTTCACAGTTTGCTTCAACTCAGGATGTATATAGTTTACAAAAAAAAGAGCGAAAATATTTTGGACTATACTTTATTAGGGTGTTATTTTTTTTTCATTGTACATACATATTTTATTTGTGGTTTGATATTGTGTGTATATAGGATCGGAAGGTTTCTGGGTTGTTTTTTTTTATTAGTAATACAGGTGGTGTTTTATAGATTTATGGTTTTTCGTTGCTCTGATGTAAAAAAGTTTATTTTCTTTTTTTTGCAGCGTTTTGTGTGTCCATTGGGTTCCTCCGGTAGAATTTCGGTTTTTATTTAGTTATTTCTATTTAATTTTTTTGTAATGAGAGACGGTGTGGCCTTTGATTTCACATATTTTTTTAGCTGGCGTTTTTTTTTTCACGCTTTTATTTTTATAGAATCACGTGATTAGTTAGTTGTAGCTATTTTAAAGTCACTGCATAGTAATGAAATTATACTTAGTAGTATAGTCTGTGTTGATAAGACCGTTATATATTACAACAAAATAAAGATCTGATTCTTTGTTTTTTTATTGAATAAGCTCCCTAACTATTGGACCGATTTAAAAAATCCTTTTCACCTACGGAAACTACCTCATACGCGGGTATATTTATCGTACGAAAACACCTAGTGTATAATAAAATTTCTCTTACCAGTAAGACCGAAAAAAAAAAATTTATTACGATGGATTAAAAATAATATATTAAAAAACGCCTGAGTAAAAAATATGTGGCTCTTAAACTATATCGATCACAACACAATTTGTAAAGTATACATTATTGGTTTTGGGTTAAAAGTTAGATAGCATCAAATTTAATATACTAAATTGTGATGTGACCGCCGGTTTATTTATAAAATGGGTAATCAGCATTTGTGGGTTCGAATCCCACTTTGTATAAATATCTATGTAATATATATAAGGAATAATGCCCAAATTTTTATTATTTATTTATATATGTTGTTCAGTCGTCACTGTATAAGTTTTATTTGAGACTGAATAATTGGTGTTGAAATTGATTATTAAATAATTTACAAACACTATAAGAACTAACGAACTAATTTTCATTTTTTTTTTTTGTTTATTTATTGGTTTATGGTGTCCGTTTACAAGAAATTGTCCACTTTTCGTACTAAAATGTATATAATAATGTAAAAATGTATAAAAATACTACTAACTGGCGAGCTAACTGTTGAGACCACAAATTGAAAATAATATACGTCCATAAGGTCTGAAAGTTGACGTCCTAATCTATATATATAAAAATGAATCGCAAAATGTGTTGGTAAGCGCATAACTCAACAACGCCTCGACCAATTTGGCCAAATCTTTTTTTAAAATGTTCGTTGAAGTTCAAGGATGGTTTTTACGGCGAGAAAAATTAGAATTATTGCTGGAAAAACCCTAAAATAGCCCTTTTCTTTTTTTAGTTACAAATCATTTGTATGGGACAAATGATTTGTAACTAAAACGTAGTCAATTTGAGCTTTATTGCTATGGTATAAAGTTCATATTAAATTACAAGCACTCACTGTTGTCTAAGCAATGTAGGTGTGTTCCTAACGTCAAAGATCATATCTATCAAAACAATGTGCGTGTGTGCGTTGGAGCACAGAATACATAGTTGGAGGAGTTTAATGTCGCGTTCCGAAACTCGCGTTTCTTTTGTAATAGTTTCGGCACGCGAGATAAAATGCATCAGTTTCCACGTCATTACATGTATTGCCGGAACATTGATGAAAATACGCTCTGTAGTAGCAAAGCTGTTGGGTCCTAGATAGCTCATTGGTTAGAGCAGTCCCTGGATCGCGAATGGGTTCGAGTCCCATTCCGGGGTACAGGTAGATGGATTCTTCCAGCATTTTTCCTTGAGAATGTTTATATATTTTTTTAATTCGAATAGTTTACTTTTATAATGCTGTTGTGTGTAATGTGTTTTTATGATCATAAAAATCTCTTTTTTCTATATTTAATACTATTACTATTAATACATTGCAATAATAATTATGATTCACATGATTAACAATAAAGCGATTACTTACTTTTAAATCCTTATATATGTTTTATTTAATTATTTTTTATTCACAACGCCCTATCACCAGGGTGACGGTTCTGTTCAGGAGATTTTTTTTAAATACGTAGGCAAAAAAACTGCCACATTACAAATCTTTTTGACAGGACGAAGTCTGTCGGGTCAGCTAGTATATATATATTTTTTTCAATTTCTCTCCTGCTTCTCCATTTCTCTTCGACTTTTCAGACCTTTTTTTTTATTTGAGGACTGTCATATAAAAAGGAATGTTTAGGACGTTTCGTTCGTAAATTGTCATAACGTAGAATAAATCAATCCAGAAAACTCTTTAAAATTTGTTCTATATCCGCGATACGCTATTACCAAGTACCTACGATGTAAAAAATATGCCACTATAGTCTTTTTTTGTTACGATCAGTGGCATACGACTACGCTGTCCTTAGGCCATCGCTATTATAATATAGCTATAGTTATAAAAAAAAAATCTTGTTTCTAACTTTTTAGAGCGTGGTTTAATTGAAGTTGGGTTTT